GTTTGAATTGTATGTAAAAGCTTTGGGCCGACACTGTGTTGAGAAGACGAACAGAACTTCATTGTTGCATAAGAAATACATATAAGCATTTGCTGTGTGCTAAAACTGTATGTACCTATTTACCTAAGTAAATTTTCAGATTCTTCTAACAATGGCAAAGTGGGGTTGTTTAGTTTACGGATTCAAATAAATCAAATGTCAATTTTTTGATATCATACGTAATATATATAAACGTCATATGTTTACATGACATGATTAAATTTCGAGGTAAAACAAACACAGAAATGGGATTAATTTGGATCAGTCATTATACCATCCAGGCATTAGAAAACCTGAAAAAGCCCACACTGCTTTGATACTTTATTACAATCAGACCTTCCTAATGTCCCACTGTTTAGGTTGAATAAATTAACAGTAACTGTGATGAGCGAGGCTGATCATCGTTTTCACTATCACTAGCGTCTGGCTCGAACAAATAAGGCCTAGCGACACCAAGCGATTTTGACAAAATCGTCTTTGAAAACAAGTTGTAACTCGGAAGCAAGGCAAGCAGGTGACAAAACAATTAACATACACAACGGTATACCTGATGACCGATGTTAATTCTATGTTCGAAGGTCTGTTGTAAATAACAAACGTTATATTTACGCAGGGTATGTACATTGTTACAGCCCCACAAACTTTAGGGATGACAACTTCAAACTCGTAAATTGACGGAAATACGTGTTGCTCGAATATTTGCTGAAGTATGTACTTTGGCCCTTATGCTTTGACGTTTATACCAGCTATAATAGCTATTTGCGTTTTTAATAATGTATCTGTACTTTGTCTGCAATAAAGTTCACAGGGTAGTCGTTTGGTTTGTTTGTTTGATGTTTAACGACGCACTCCGCAATATTCCAGCTATATCATCGAATCTGAACCAGACAATCCAGTGATCAACATCATGAGCATCGTTCTACGCAATTGGTATACGATGACATGTGTCAACCAAGTCAGCGAACCGGTCCACCCGATCCCGTTAGTCGCCACTTACCACAAGCATGGGTTGCCGAAGACCAGTTCCAACCCGGATGGCTAAATTGTCTAAACTTGCTGACAGCTGAAGGGATGGTGTAAATCAAACTAGGGTCCATGCAGGAAGCAAATGTACTGTAAGTCCCCATGGTCCCTAGTATGGTGATCTACCTTCAGTCGTTAGCAATCTACAGCCTGTTTATATATTGTATTGTCATTTATAGTTCCAATATTTTATATTTAATTGCTAGTTTTAAATGGATATCTGTGATACACTAGTAGTTTTACTGTTCTTCGTCAACAGGTTTTTTAATTTCTAACTTTATTCATCTTTAATATAATTATAAAATGTTCTCGTCACGATATGGCTGAAATATTGCCGATGTGACGATAAATATTAACTCACTCACTCACTCACTCCAACCCGGATGTTCACGGGTAGTTGTCAAGGTACTTTGGACGCGGACCTGGGGAATTAACAACAACGCGCATTCTGTTCTCTAAGGACGAGATCATGGATTTACAGACACATAGGGCATCTAGTGCCTGACTTTCAAATACTTATTTGATGTTGGCTAAACAGTGTAAATGAGCGGTCATGCATAAGGTTTGTTTCATGTAGATTGTTCACATACTTGGTGTCGGTTGGAAGTGGCTTGAACTGATGCAGTGATTAATGACAAAGAAGTATTTTACATAGATAAAAAAAACACCTTTTCATAATGATCTGTATAGTAGTGTTTGATGCTGGTAGACGACATGAGAGGAGTGTCAAGTATCAAACGTTGAAACTGACGGGATCGCATGAACCATGATGTTTGACAGGATGTACAGTTATATTTCAAAGGGGGTCTAAGAATCTAATGTTTTGACAAAAGGAGGAAGCTGATCAACTGAAGACGAATGGCGTCATGTGATACAAACACAGCAGAACGTGCTGTTTTTCCCTCACGTGTAATTCTTTGCGAACACATGAGGACAACAAGCAGGATATTTGTGGCATTCATAATATCGGTGCATGTAGCTGTAACAGTTAACTGTTTAATAACATTGTAGATTTATTAAACAGTGATATCTTCAATGGATGAGTTATATATATCATATGTGCACATATCACTTTAGCTTAGCAACCATTGCTTCTGTATTCCGTCGTCTGTGACGTCATTAAACAATCGAACGTGTTAACGGATAAAATGGATAATATAGAAATAATTACAAGCGTGTCATATGACTTACACGAATTTTATATACAAAATTTCACACTCTTTTCGTATAATTGGTATGACACACTTGCTCGTGTAATAATTTGTACCTGTTGTGATGGGACAGTAATATTTGTTGGGTAACAGTGTGTAATGCAGTGTACAGAGAGGGGCAGTGGTATGCTATATTTAGACTTGTACTGTATTTAGGAAGAATTTTGGAATGCATTACAACCCAAAAGGTATCTCCAGTGACATAGGTGAAAATATAGAAAGATCTGACAGCTTGACCTTATGCATTTAATCGGAAAAAACTCTCTTGTCTCACATAAGATCTCGAGCCACAAGATCAGCATTTTGTGCTCACTCTATAGTGAGTTAGTGAGTTTAGTTTTACGCCGCTTTTTAGCCATATTCCAGTACGGAGGGGGACACCAAAAATGGCCTTCACACATTGTACCTATATTGAGAATAACTCTAGATGAATATCACCATGGCCGTCATAATAATCTGTGCTCGTCATAATAACTGAACCCTGAAATAGTTTGCGCAAATCCTTCATTTGGTCGTTAAAACTCCTGTGATACCCGATTTGAGCGTAGTATAGACAGTTGTTAAGGGGTTGACAATCATATGCATTACTTGTGATTAGATTCAAAATGTACACTAGAATGTTCCGTGATTGGTGTATGTCAAATGGGTAATGTACTAACATTGAGAAGTCATGTTTAATGTTCATATTCTGCTTGATATGGCGATTAACGTTTGGGAACAAGGTGGCAGCAATCTAATGCCAGTCAATCAAAAACACCACGGGAAAATTCTTATTCTTGGAAGCTGTTGTTTTTCAATAACAAATGTCTTCGGACATTCCTCACAATCAAACGTTGTTTAGAAGGATTGAGGCAAATATCTCCATTTTCTTTCTGGGGGAACTGGTGGTTGATCTTAAATGTACTTGGTTCCATTAACCCATATATTAGAGTGAGTGAGTGAGTTTAGTTGTACACAGCACTCAGCTATAGGTAACGCTTCAGTCTGGTACCTTGCATCGTTACGTCGATTCAACATCCATAGAAACAACATTTGACACTTACGGCGACGGCCAGCAATCAAATCAAAATCAAATTAGACATTTGTATAGCTCTACATATCCACAGTCCTGCTTATGTGCGCTTAGTCGAATGCTCGTTTGAAGAGGATGGTTTTGAGACAAGATCGGAAACTGTTGATATTTCCGATTTTTTGACATTTTCAGGTAATCCACTCCAGAGTACAGCACCCGCTCTGCTAAATGTTCTATCTCCGTATGTTGTGGTTCGGACATATGAAACATCTAAGCTTTGCTGACTAGCTGATCTGAGTGAACTTCCAGGCTTGTGAAGGTTGACTAGTACCTGGAGATAGAATGGCGCAAACCCATTAATGGACTTGTAAACAAACAGAAGTAGTTTGAATACAACTCTGTCTTTTACAGGGAGCACAGGACTGGTGTTATGTGCACATACATATGTGTGCGTGTTATGAGCCTGGCAGCTGTGTTTTGAACACGCTGTAACTTGTCCATGTACTTCTGCTGTATTCCATAGAGTAGACTGTTGCAGTAGTCTAGACGTGATGTCACAAATGCATGGGTTAGGCATTTTACTGATGGTGTGTCCATGTATCTGCTAATCTGTCTGTTGTTCCTTAGGTGGAAATATGCAGATTTGCAAATGTTACTGACGTGATTTTCCATGCTTAAATGTTGAGTCAAAGATGACACCCAGATTTCGAGCATAGCTTTCTGGTTGTGAGATACGATTGAAACCATGATAACGCATCGCCAGTGACTCCAAGACGTAACTGTAGAGTTTCCAAGGGAATGGAATGGTCTATTGTGTCAAATGCCGCTGATAGATCCAAGAGGACAAGAATTGCCGCTCCCTTGGAATCAACACCATGCAGAAGGTCATTCTGCACACGCAGCAAAGCTGTTTCTGTGCTGTGACCCATTTTGTATGCTGACTGCATGATATCACCAAGATTGTTGTCCAGGAGGTGTTGTTTCAGTTGATTTGCTACAACACGCTTTATCAATTTAATAGTGGGTATGACGGAGAGTTCTTGTCACCGATGAGTCACGTTTCCTTCTTCACCGACCTGACGGGAGGACACGTGTCACGGCGCACAGGTGAACGTTATATCAGGCCATATGTTAGGGAGTTATGAGCTGGGGTGGGGTAACAGCTGCAGCAAGGACGCACGTGATTGTGCACGTTTAGTGGCCGGAATAAGGTGAAGGTCCTGGCCTGCATCAATGCACAAGGTGGACACACTCGGTACTGGCTGTGTAAATTTGCTAATGATCTCCCTCTTATGTTGTGGCTCATTTTCATATGCCAGGTGCGCTGATCTTATTTACAGTTGATCGTTACCATATTTTATCTTCCCATACAATAACATTCTGTTCGCGGAAGCGTTAACTTAACGCTGATTCTGTTTGTTGTATGTGTGTCAATATAACCTATGCCTTTGAGTGTATGTATGTATGTATGTATGTATGTGTGTGTGTGTGCGTGTGTGTGTGTGTGTGTGTGTGTGTGTGTGTGTGTGTGTGTGTGTGTGTGTGTGTGTGTGTATGTATGTATGCTATACTACGTAATTTGTATGAATTACCATACGGATTGTTTCCTCCTCAAATTCGAACTGCATGATTAACAAAAGGTTCACAATGTTTCAAAATTACACTGCCCTGTAAGTTTGGCAATTACACCATCTGTGATGTGATCATTATGATGATCAAAGCATAACCACTTCACTGGGACTGGTGAATTTCACAGATTCCGCAACAGAGTTCTTGGACAGAGAACATTTTGACAATGAAGGCATAACCGGCAGCTTTGCAATGAATGGGAGTCTGTTGTAGATGCGTGGCAGGAAATCCCATTCATATGCATCTTGGACGGATATACTGTTAGAATTATCCCCGTCTCCGTCACGTGACACATTCCTCTGCCAACTTACGAGACCCCTTTCTTCTCGTGTTCCTGAAAGTAAAAGGAACCTTGTTGAAGTGTTTTGTTTGATTTATGTTGCAGTCAACACTGGTCCGGGTATGCTATGGGGATCTGACAAAATGGTGGTTAAACAAAATGGGATTGGGATTGGATGGCTTGCAATCAGACAAATCACCTGGTGTGACTCCGAGTAATGGTCGTAAATATCTTTTGTCAATATCGTAGCAGTGATTTCATTCAAGTGAACTGAAACTTTCATGGGTTACAGGTTCTCTCAGGTTATCTTTAACATAAGTGTGATTCATACTCATCGGCCATTGTGGCCATTCAATCCCCATGTAATTTTTCTCTTGTTACAACCCCAAAGTATCTGTCTCGTTTATCTTGTAATGAATCACTGCAGGATTTCCAGTCGAAATTAGAAATGAATGGATAATCAGTATTGAACCAAATTCATTCTGTTCATCTATTTTATCTCATTTTATGTCATTTACTAGGTACATGAAAGTTACGCAAAAAATATTCATACCACGAACTGTGGTGTCGAGGACTATGGATAAAAGACCACCAACAAACATGGGTGTTCCCAAAGCAACTTTCAACACACCATCAACTTCAGCAACTCCTGTCATAAAAGAAACAAGGAAAATTAATATTGAGACACGAAGTCGATCTGTTTAGTGAAGTAAAGTACAGTGTTGGCCTGAAATATTAGTTGCAGCACAATGCCGATTTAAGGACTAAGCTTCTGGGTACCGATCGAAAATGAGTTCGTAAACTCTATAGTTTATCACATGTTTATGAATGTCGAAGCGCTACAAACGTTTCATGGATCGGGACCCTTGTTTATTAGAGATGGGTTTAAAATCAAATGAAATAAGCGGTGCCACAAATTGGAAAGCAATGAAATGGAGTTCTTATCAAGGTGGTTGCACAACATGATACCATAACCGACGTACACCAACGGCCATCATCTACGAAAATAAAGAGTCTGAGAGTTTGAGTCTGAGTACATCAACGGCCTTGGGTGTGAAATGGACGAACATGGGTGACCAGGAGTATGAGTGGTCCATTCATTTAATATCTGCGTCTCAAGACAGACATAAATCTCATGGTTTTCAAAACCAGTTCAATTCCACGACCTATGCATCATCAGAAAACACGATTCATCAAAGTACCTGTATCAATGAAGTCAGCATGTCTGTCCACCCACTCAGGCAGGAATATCCCACAGAATAATGACACTCCAACTATTGTCAGATTTCTGGACGAGTTCAAGTTGGTATGGCGGAGGGTGGACAGGCCAATGGACACAAGCATTCCGATGAGGACGACCATTGAGCCAGCTAGAGTCGGATCCGGAACAGTTGCTATGGCAGCACCAAATTTACCGAAAACCGACATCAATATAAGGATGAGACCATTGCACAGCATCACGGATCGACTAGCCGTCTAGAAAATAGGAATGATAAAATGTGTCGTTATTAAGTGACACCATCAACGATATTTCTTTATTTTCTTATTTTACGACACTTCGTGCAATATTGCTGTAATATCACGGCTTGTGACAGCAGAAATGGGAGCCTCACATTGTACCCATGTGGAGAATCGAACCCGGGTCTATGGCGTGGACGCTTTAACCACTAAGCTACAGCACCGCCTCCTCATCACAATGATCTGCTTCAGGGATATCGGGTGGCGATAAAAATTAGACTAACGCATAAGATATCCTTGTCTTGAAATATGACCTCATAAAGTTGATTATTTATTTTTGATCGAGAAGTAAGAGATGTTTACTGCACTGGAGATGGCTGTGCAATAGCTTGTTACTATGGTTGGGGAATATAAACGAATCAAATTCTATTTGTCTATGTCGTATTTTATATACGATATTTTAGTTTTAGTTTTCCTTCCTTCCTTCATTCATTTTAACATTAATTTATATCAATAAATGTTATCTATCTAGCAAGGACTGGGCAGGTGTAATAGAAACAGCGCAGCAAAATTACTTCAAAGAGTAAATATGCCTATAAACAACAAGTAAAATTTGGGATTTTTTCATTCTTTACATACCCAAACACGTTTGCGTAAATTTAAGTTAACATATTCCTTGACGGACAAATCTCATGATGGAAACATTGTTGGCGTAGCTATGAAAAGTAACAAGGTATCTTTGCCTCAAGATTCTGAAGTCAATCAACATAAACCACATGTGTACGTGTATACAAACCTTAGCATTGGAGGTATAGAAGATATTAACTTATTACCCAGCCTTATGAACAGAACATTAACCTTTGATACAGATATCGCTGCGATATTTCCACTGTATGACGTCGTAGCATGTCCCGTGCCAATCGCTCCGCCAAGTAGTCCACACAGACCTTCAATAAGGATTCCTCTGTTGACAGCGTGATCGGGCGGAGGGTCGATTTGACATGCTTTCGCGGTGGCAAAATAGTCTCCTACAGATTCTATCATGGACGCGCAAAAGCGCAGACAGGAATCCAACAAAAACTGCTACACTGAATGATGGCAATCCAAACTGACCTGCAATACAAAGACAAATGAGTCAAAGCTGTTGGTGAAAACTTTTATCATTCGTACATGTGTCTAGCAATGGAAGTAAATGGCACTAAACTTGGGCACATAAACCATCACCTGGGTACGGGAAGTAGAACCATGGCGTGAGCTCCACCATCGACATTTTCACGTCCGTCCTCGCTTTGTAGCGGATGTTGTCAGGGTCGTTTGGGAAGACGTTTGTGACGGTGAGGATGGCGGAGATAGCCCACATCACCAGTATGCTCAACAAAACCTGCAACGTATCATAACCTGTATTCAGTCATGAATGTAATGTGTTTTTCATATATATATGATGATATATGATACATGATCATGAACGGCGACTATGAGCTCTCCCTTATAGTAAGATAACATCAGTTTCTGTTAGCCTTATTTGCATAAACCTTCTCTATCAAATTACTTTTTGAACCTCAGAACAAGGTACATTATTACGTCAGTGTCTGTTGTGTGAAACAGCATGCTTTATATGCGGGAGGTGTTTTTCTTCATGTAATTTTTACGTTTTGAAACTAAGCCGTCTTGAAATTAGAACGTAAAAGAACCAAAAGTCAACAAAGAAATGTTATATAATACACAAAACTAAGTTTACAAGTCAATACATTCAAAGGAATTATAATGGCAGTACGAAATAGAGAGGCAGGGCAAATTCAAAGTCAGCATAATTTAAAAGTAGTGATTATGTTGACACATGTAATATTCTTCTCGCTGAAACAACGGTCAAGCTGCTAAAGAGGTACAGGAGGAGTATCCAGGGTGAAAAGTGATCTTCAGAAAGCTGCCGGTCTTCTTGTCATATGGAATATCCCATGATATTCTGGATATTACGGTTGTAATAACTTGTAGTATCAGCCAGGCCTCTCAGTCTAAATGTAGCTGAAGTCTAAACATAGTGTGTGTGCTGACGTATCTGTACTGCGGGAAATATGAAGCAGGCTAAAGCTCTGATAAGAGCTTGTTGTTCACATAAATATATGCATTTAACTAGAGTCGGATACATAGGATGTGTGCCAGGGTATATTGGCATGTACCTGACATGGTAAATAGAAGGTGGTATACATTCTCGTATAACCCTCTATTAGACATAATACAGGAACGTCTATCCCCAGGTGTATGCAAATTTGCAAGTATTTGACCACTACCGGACAGATGTACCTGCAAATCATGCTGACTGAACAAGCAGCAAATGATTGAACACTCACATCTTAACGAGATGATTATTTTAGTTTTAGTTCAAAGGATATACATAAACATACCGGGAAGAGTTGAAATATCGGTAGATAGCTTCGTTGTTTCTTCTTTCTCCATCTCGGAAGTGGAATTTTGACATGTGGAATGTACAGGATGAAGATGAGAAGCAGTGCTATCCCTCTAAAACAGGAAACATTGGGCAGCCATGACTGAAGTGTACCTCCAGACTTTACTCATGAAGCAACGAACTTGGTGAACCACATAATACGATTGGTTTGTTGCTGTAAACACGGTCAAGTCATGTGTTTGTTGATCTCATTCAGCACTATTCCAGCTATTTGTGACGGCAGTGTATAAGTAATCGAGTCTGGATCAGACAATCCATCACCTAAGTTAGCAAGCCAGAACACCGGATCCCGTTAGTCGTGTCTAACGCTAAGCATGGGTTGATGGATCTTCATGGGTCTGCAGTAGAAATATAGATATCACTCATTTCCATGTATGTAATCAAACTGCAAAGTTCCGCGAAGTCAAATATTTGAAATTTATGATATCCAATAACTTTCAATAAAGGATGTAGTAAATGTTGTTCGCCGCAGTCAGCAATATCCTTGCTATATCACTGCGACCTGTAAACTACATCTAACAGATAAGCGGCCCTTGGTTGATAGAATGATCATCCTCTCACGCCTTGAGATCGATCGAAGGCAAAGTGATCATTTGGGGGATGAAGAGGGGGGGCGTTATCAAGTACAGTTTCATAGCCAGTAAATCACCCCAATCGGTAAACCGGTTTTCAAAACGGCCACTGGTAAGGTTTAAGGTATTTTGACATTCTAAGTGCATACATGTATTTAGTTTTTCATCGAAAAGGAAAATACTCCAATCGCGTACAAATGGGCGTTTTTAATCCCATTATTTCTTAAGTGAGGGTTGGTTAATATATGTCCTATCTCAAAATACACATGCATACCAAACCGTAACTCTGGTACACCACCGGCAGTTCATGCTGTATTGTATTACCGAATTGTCGAATATTATGTACGATTTCATATTCCTCTACAACATCAACGTACTATAAACGTCTTTAAACTTCATTATAAAAGTAGTTTGCATTCTTACAGTCCGTAACGATCTTTTATCATTGAGATTGTAAAAAGTCGACACACCTCTTGTCTTGAACTTCATCAGCTGGACACCCGTGATGGTCCGGGTTAGAATGAACCTTCAGTAACCCATGCTTGTCGTAAGAGGCGACTAACGGGATCGGGCTGTCAGGCTCGCTGACTTGGTTGACACATGTCATCGGTTCCCAATTGCACAATTCGATGCTCATGCTGTTGAACACTGGATTGTCTGGTCCAAACTCGATTATTTACAGACCGCCGCCATATAGCTGGAATATTGCTGAGTGCGGTGTAAAACTAATCTCACTCACTCACTCATCAGCTGGACGTGTTCCCATGTCCCAAAGACATGTTTGGCTGTAGTACTGTACTTCAAAATTCGTCCAAGGGACCGCGTTCAACTAATGAGCTATCATAATTAAATGGTGATTGGTTAAAGACGTCGTTTTGCAATTTTTATACAAACCCGAATGAAATTTCCCACGACGGTCTGGACTGGGCTATTGGAATCTTGTACAAAGAGATCCCAATGAGGGCAATGGTAGGAGCTACTGTGATTGGCCCGATGTAGCGGAGGAGGACTCCAACTAACCCAGTAGACCCTATTAGAATTTCCAGCATTGAGGCGGCCATCAAGCTCCCAGATAGCTGCAAAACATCACAAGCTCATTCAAATAAGATCTGTTCGTCCAACTTCAAGTCAGGAAGGCTTTAGACTTGTACTGAATAATAACATTTCATTCTTCGTGTAGATCTAGCTAAGCCCACAGATGTCTCGTTATGTTATGTTATGTGGCGGTATGTAAATATTCGAGTCTGGACTTGACCATTGTGATCAACTTCATGAGCATCGATCTACGCATTTGGGATACGAAGACATGTGTCAACCAAATCAGTGAGCCTGACCGTTCCGATAATTTATATAGTCTGTTTGGTGATTAATTAAGTCGAATGTTCACACGATGTGACCCACTGTGAGAGTTTATTATGATACTCAAGGAGAGTGGTATCAAATGGGAATATGGGCATGCCGATTGACTTATCTCATTTTCGAATGAATCGTAAGAGACATTTCTTGTACTGTGGACACATGCTTGTCGCAAAATTCATCTGGGCATACAAAATAGTACTTAAACACTGAAGACATATGCAGCGCAGGAGTAACAACCATAAACAAGTATATTTCAGGTTAGACTTAGTTCCTTGTATGGCCGTTCTTTACGTGTAGTTTATGCAACCATCAAAAGACATTTTTTTTGACTGCCAGGTTCGTAAAACATACTGAATTAAAGAATAATTGCTTGATATAGTTTTTCACTATGCAATTGCCAATTTTCCAATTTGTATGTATCCAACTAGGGCATTGTTATTTTTGTGGCAGTGTTGCTTCAAGCGATATTGGTTTATCATGGTTCCCTGATAATGGCTGAAACGTTTATTATAATATCATCAACATTTTCTTTTGACTGCCAGGTTCGTAAACCATACTGAATTAAAGAATAATTGCTTGATATAATTTTTCACTATGCAATTGCTAATTTTCCAATTTGTATGTATCCAAACAGGGCATTGTTATTTTTGTGGCAGTGTTGCTTCAAGCGATATCGGTTTATCATGGTTCCCTGATAATGGCTGAAAACGTTGATTATAATAGCATCAACCAGGCTTTGTACCTTTTGTTTTCCATGTTTTGAGTATGTGGCTAAATGGGTTAGAAACTGTTACTGAGCGACTCACATATACAGAGAATAATATGATGAATAAAAGATCAGATATATATGAGATAAAGAAACTCGAACATAATATGTAAAAATAATAATAATAATAAGAATAGTTTGCTTGTATAGCGCCTAGTTTAGTAATATATAAAAGATCAAGTATTTTATACACATTCAATGTACCTGTTTCAATTTCTCTCCTTCGGACAGCAGGTTCAAGCCTGCTGTTGTTGAACCATTGAGACTGGTTGTGTTGCCGTCATAGGTCATACTTGTCAAACTGCCTTCAAAACGATCATTGCGTACAAGTGTCAATTGGGATATTTACGGTAAGGTGAAAAAGTGTTCTGCAAAGAACTTGGAACAAGTTAAAAACGTTCAATTTCCCTGCATTTCGTTCAGGTTGTAATCAAAACATTTTTTTTCCTAAGTAAGGAGTAATTATGAAAATGACATCACTGAAATATAACCGTTTTCATGAGATTCTTGAGAGGCATTTAGAAGTTGGTGAATATATAAGACGAGTATATGGATGGCAACTTCTTGTTTATTGTATAACACAACGTTTCTGGGCTACTTCGTGCCCCTTCTTCAGGTGATTAAAGGCAGATGTAGAAAGCAAACTATATATAAATCAAATTTACAGGAAGCCAGATATGTACATGTATATACAATCAATCACAGAGGACCGAACAAAAGCAGTTATACAAACAATGATAATTGGGACAAGTTGTGTTATACAACAAACAAGAAGTTGTCATCCATATACTCGTCTTATAACCGTTTTCATGAAAAATAATTATTTTTAGCAGAACAACGTTTAAGTTTGAAGACAACTATAGCACATATATCGTTCGTAACGAAGTTTTGGGACTACTTGCTCCTTCTTTAAATTATAAAAGGAACAAGAAAATGTCGTAAAATGTTGCTACAAAATGCAAAATAGAGTCCAAAGTCCAATGCGATCAGCTACAGTCCGTTTGAGTCAGAAACGGACTGATGAATTGCAAATTTTATCATTGTACAAAATTGCCACATAAATATAAATAGTACACATGTTTATCATTGACTAATACCCAACAGCTTTCTTATATTTGAACATTTTCCGGACTCCACCAAAAAAGTTCTTTAAGAAACTATCATTACAATTTTGACACAGTTCACTATTTGGTACGAGGGAGGAGTGCAGAGAAAGGGACAGCCAGGTGTGCGAGACAGGATGGAGACGGCACAGCACAGGCTAATGAATCAATAACTTGGTGGGCACTTGTGCACGTGCTTCTCTAACACCTGGCTGTCCCTTTCTCTGCACTCCTCCTCCAAATAGTGAACTGTGTCAAAATTTTAATGATATAAGTTCAAATATAAGAAAGCTGTTGGGTATTAGTCAATGATAAACATGTGTACTATTTATATTTATCTGGCAATTTTGTACAATGATTAAATTTGCAATTCATCGGTCCGTTTCTGACTCAAACGGACTGTAAGTTCCTAAGTTCTCTCATCTTCAGATAGAACGAAGTCGCGTAAGGCAGATGCGTGTCTGTGACAATGTCAGCTGTAGTTACAACAACAAGAATGTCCACCCGTACCCTTAATGTACATGAAGATGCGGATTGTTTCTTTTCCATTCTACGATGACAAGATACATCGAGTGAAGCAGCCTGGATTTGAATCATATGTGTTCATTGACCTGACAATCTATGTTTAAAAAAAACATGGCACTGTATTTCCAGAAACACAATGTTATAAACCGATAACAGGATGGTTTAATAACTCTTGTTTGGATTGACCGATTTTCATCAGAATAGTAGAGTTGGAATGCTTAGATTATGATATAAAATTGTGGACAATAATATTACATGTATGCTCATCGCAATATAGTTTGGTAAGGTCAAAGGTCAATTTTAATAGAAAGTGTATTTGATGAGAAAAATATGAGTTACACTTTACAAGTTAAAGGTAATTTTACCACAATTATGTTTTTCTAATTTAGCTGTAACATTTGATGATCATATATACGTTTGGTTGGCACTGAATGCATGAAAAAACATTACAAGAAAACAGAAGTTGGTATCAGTTAGATCAGCAAAATATTATATAATGTCTGTTAAACAGTAACAGTTCCATGCTTTATATAGTATCAGCGAAAATAGATATGTCGGTGTGAGTGAGTTTAGTTTTACGCCGCACACGGCAATATTCCAGCTGTATGGCGGCGGTCTGTAAATAATCGAGTCTGAACCAGACAATCCAGTGATCAACAGCATGAGCATCGATTTGCGCAATTGGGAACCGATGACATGTGTCAACCAAGTCAGCGAGCCTGACCACCCGATCCCGTTAGCCACCAGCTGTAATCAGCAGAGCGTGTTTCAAATGAAGGACATATTCTGCTTGTCCAGATCTATGTATATATATTTTCCAAAAAATGAGTACTTATTGTGTTATATATGTAAATTTACAATTGTATTGATAAAGCAGTTTTGTACACATATCCCTCCATATATTGAAGCAAGCCGTTTGTGCTCTCTCCATCAGTAAGAAAATAATCATATTTTGAACCCTAGTAAACTTAGAAAGAAATTGTATCATCTATTACAATCAAAGGGAATGTATTGGAAATACTGTGTAATTAAGCATTCTAGAGGTATATGACGGGTGTATTTGTATGATTTGGTGATCAGTGTGTAATATCCTATACAATGTATTAATAATTGCCGGTGTAAAATGCATGCAGTGACACAAATATAAACAATATTGACACTTATCAAAACATATCTCCTTCTGACATCAGCTGAATTGTTGTTTCTGCCAGACTGTCAATAAACGAACACTTGAATGATAGCCCAACAGTATCTTTGACATATTCGGCATTGTTGATACTTTGTAAAGCATGGACTTATCTTAGTGTTGCTGATCTAAATACAAGTACCAACTTTTGTTTCCTTGTAATGTTTTTTTTCATGCATACAATGCCAATCAAACGTATATATCATCTGCAAATAATATAGCTGAATTAGAAAAACATAATTTTGATAAAATTACCCTTAATTTGTAAAGTTTAAACTCATATTTTTCTCATCAAATGCACTTTCTATGAAAATTGACCTTTGACCTTACCAAAATATTTTTGCGATGAGAATATTTCTAGTCAGTCTAAACCAGAGATATTAAGTTAAACCATCCAGTTATCGGTTAAAATGTTACTATAACTGAAATGACATGTTGCATCTTAAAAGGGCCCCTGCACAGTGGTCACGCGTGATAGCTGATGACAACCGGCTTTATATCCAAGCTAACTCATTCCTGAATGTGAAAAATCACATCCTATTCATTCGCCAGAACTGCACATTTTCACCATTTTGGGGGTCTGGCTTCAAGACCATAACGCCAGTTTGACGGTTATCTTTTGGCGCTTTTTATTTTTTTATTATTTTTTTTATGTTTATTCTGTTACACTGAGCACACATATTGTTGTGCAGTTTGCGTGCAACCTGATACGTGTTTTGCATATCGCGTTCTGTAAACTTTTTTGGGGAGAGTATATAATTGTACATGTCATTATGTCTATGTGAATACTTTTATAATGCAAGTTAGCATTCCCAAAGATACGGGCATCAAATCGGCTGTTACAGTGTGGTTATTGTGATCTAAACCAAGCAACTGACAAATCTGTAATGATGGTATACCATGGATTAGAATATTCGGGTTCAAATTCATGTGTGTTTTTTATCCAATACTCAATAACACCTGCAAATTTGAAACTGATTTCAATCACTCTCTTACCATCAGGACATTTCCACTCAGGGTTGTTCTGCAGGGCGAGAAGCGCAGGAAAGAAGGAGCCTGATGGACCTTGAAATACCGGCAACCTGGAATACACGTCAAGTGTTATTATCTCCATGTTTAGGCTGGCCATATTACTTTCTGTTTTCCAATCTCCCGCCTGCCTTGAGCTTTCAATCCGTTTTCCCATATATATATTCCCACTACTGTGGACATTTATTCCCTGGTATGGTAAAACGAAACTATAAAAAGTCTCACAACAATACACAAAAACTTTTATACGCCGGCCCGAGACAAGATAAGAAGTTATGGATGACCTTATATAAAACTTGCTCCCTCAGTAATTGAGTGCCTCTGGTTTGTAGCAATAGGAAATACATGGTTTCAGATAGGGAATAATGCATATTTACACTTTGAACCAAATCTTTGCGAACGGGTTTTATCTTTCACTTCTCACCTTATTCCGACAGCAGGTTGAAGTAGTGAGGTTATTCCACTCATGAGCAGTGTTGAGGAAAGTAACTTCGATCTGATTGGACTGTCATAAGCTGTGCATAGAGCATCTGAGATGATGAAGGCAGTAGCAACCTCGAAGGCAAGATTCATCATGATGTGCTGCAAGGAGAAGTAAGCGACAACATCAAAGAGTCACCGGTGTGTTCCTATGGTTCTCTTGTCATTTTCTTTTGCCCATTTGGTTTCATTCTCCATGACATGGAACTGTTGTTTAGTCCAATAATAATTTGATTTCTTTCAGCGTACACGAATTCTAAGTGTTGTGTTATAAATTTCCCTTATAATATAATTAACCAGAAAACATACATGGAAGGCAGCACTCAACATTATCCATGTATTGTTTTGTTGGGGTTTTTGTCAGCACTTAAATGGCGCTCTGTAAATAATCCCGTCTGCATCAGACAAAACAGTCGTCTATATTGTGAACAACGTCGCTCGTTGTCGTGCAGGATGACCACAATCAACAACGTTACAGAGTCAGACCAGCGATAGTCATTCTATCGTATTTTGTAATGATTGATCATGGAAGCAGGGTACGCTCACCTTAATGGAAAGGCCTGGTATGGTTACTGCTGTATTGTTATTCCTGAACACACTCTCTTGATACAGTCGTAATCATACAGTGGATTCTGCTCGTAGCAGAGATCTTATATGATTATGGAAAGGGCTGTGTCGCTTTCATTAATAAGCTTAATGTACTGGCCCAAAGCAGATCCATGCTTTAAAATATATTTTCATTGAATTTTATATAATATTGATCAGCCGTTGTGTCAATATTGATATAATTTCTTTCGGCCTACACGAATTTTAAGATTTATATTATTTATTTCAGAGACTGATAATATTATTAACCAGACCACATACCTGGAAGGCAGCACTCAACATTATCACACACGGGGGGTTTTGAGTCAGGGTATAGTGCAGTGGTTCATCCTCCTTCTCATGCAGCTTCTCTTCCTCTCTGCCAACACCCAGCTCCTGGCCATTTTTGACTCGTTCCTTGCCAGTCATGATGATCGTCTAAGATCTGACTGAAAATGCATGGATGGGAAATGAAGTTTTACGTATATCATCAGTTTTGTTGGTGACAGGTTGAATGCTGCTGTTATTTGCGCATCAAATAGTCACTCATATGTATCTGGGTTAGTACGACTAACTCATTGACTTAGTTCACATGAACGTGACCGTGAAGGTCCGGGTTCTAATATTGATCTTCAGTAACCCATGCTTGTCGTGAGAGGCGCCTCACTCACTCACTCACTCGCTCACATGAACGTCATCACGATGTTCGTATACTAAAGTGACATTATAGCACAGTCATGTCTCCATTGCATAAGCCGTAGTTACAGAAGTTATCCTCACATTACTGCTACATGACTGAAAAGACATTTTACAATTCACGACAGTTGCGCAAGATATTCACACATCGTCATTTATCCAGTTTATGTTTACAACTAGAGCAGACAAATTTGTTTGATATCCGTATCGTATCAGCGTTTAATGTTTACATAATATGAGTTATATTTAGCATTACACTTTCTCCGTAACATATGAATAAAAAAGGACTCCGTCCGTCCCTTCACATTCGTCTTTTCAGGCGCAGAACTTTAAAACCGTACTTTATTTCTTCACCAAACTTAAGCCCTTTTTACATGCACACATATACTTACGTAAGTATATTTGTTTACATAAGTAAATATACTTGGGGTAAGTAAATATGTCATGTAAATTGCATCACGTCTACAAAAACCTCAGTACATCACCTAAAATGGCTAGACACTGGCAGACAGTCACATGACCTGTCTGGATTCAATGAAAGTGTGCTTGTCACATGACCTGTCTGGTTTAAATGAATATCTGCTTGGCTTGAGTAAGTTGCATTTAGTTTTTTGTAACAATATGGCTGGAAAAGGGCCAACTAAGCGTGGCATATTGTGGACTGATGAGGAAACTGAGTGCCTGGTGTTAAAGAAGATAATAATGATGAAATGGTTGATGTCTCCAGCGTCGCTGTCGACCGCACATTTGGCCCTCTAGATGACAGTGAAAATGATGAGCCAACCTAGATAATGGTACAACAGGATAAATGGAGAACTGTAACTTTTCTATTTTGGAGACAGACGTTATGAAACTTTTTCTCAGAGTTGATCTGATGTTTCCATTACATTCTGCGTTGAAATGAATGTTTGATCATGAAACCATTTCGCGTTAGATTGCGATTCATCGGTACCATTTTGACCAAAACAGACTGTAGATAATATCTGAGCTAGCTGTGAGGGTACCATTGTAAGGCTTCATTAGCCAGGTCTTCGAAGGCTGTGCGGCATCTCCCAGGAGAATGATGGGCATAATTATCACTTTATCCTGGCAGCAGAGTGTCTTTGGTCGAGAGGGAAAGAGATCGTTGGTTTCTCTTTTAAAGAATATTTCTGATTTGCCAAATACACGTGCATCGTGCACACGACCTGGTCAACAACCGCTGATATCTGTGATTATGTATTTGTAGTCACATGTTGCTGGCAGAATAATTGAGTACCTACCTTTTCGTGAGTGAAACGATTGGGATGTGGTTACCATCTATTGCTCTTCCACAATTTTGGAAGCCCAAAACTTGTTCAAATCCCTTAATTACATTTTCAAGTTAATCATCTTTTGGGAAAGTCACATATCTTGGTAGGAGGTGGTCCGACATAGCTGTACACACTGCATGCACACATTTCCACACAGTAGTTGTTCCAACACCAAACAAATTGCCAGCAGTACGTACGGTACTCGGCATTGGACGCTAGCCTACATACACTCCAAAACATTTTATATTTGACATAATCATAACAAGTAGACATATTCATGAAGAGTCTTCTTGTTAATGCTTTCGGTTACTGGCCATGTCGTTTGAAATGGCCGCTTCCCTTCTGACATATTTGTTTCAGTTAATCGCCGTCAAACTGTTGTATTTCTTCTTGTTTCTTCCCTTTACTGACAGGTCCTAACCAACTTTGTTCAGCTAAATACTCTCTGTTAATTGGCGAAAGGCTTTGTGGGCGTGTCAAATTATGTGTATAAATCCAAGAATCACCTGACTGACGTCACGCCACATCATGTACTTTCTCCCCTGGAACGTCTGTCAATCTTGTCATTTTTGTCGAATTTGATTTTAATTGTAAGAAGTGTTCTTAGAATGTTGTAGAATATGAGTGAGTATGGTTTAGGCCGCTTTTAGCAATAGTCCCGTAATATCGCGGCAGGGGACACCAGAAATGGGTTTCACACATTGTACTCATGTTGAGAATTGAACCCGGTCTTCAAGTTGACGAGCGAAGTCTGTAACCACTAGGCTACCCCACCGCCCCTGGAGAATATAATGATAATGATAGACTGTGTATTTTGTCGGTTCATTCATGTGCAAGCTTTGTAACTTATAAATCCTAAACAAATACACTGTTGATCCTTAACAAGTCACCCGAATGTTTCGCCATTATGATGGTTTGGTAAATTAAAATTTGCTGTAAATCGCTGTAAAGTGTCTTTTCACGAACACCTGATATCATCACTATTTGATACTTTTTTATTAGTGATTGATAAACACAAGCTCTTTCATCGTATCGTATGGTGACAATCCCAACATTGTCTGGTCCAGACTCGATCGTTTACAAACAGATACATACTAATAACACAGTATTGTACAATCGACTGCGTTTTTAGCAGAGATGGAGCGGAAACGGTTCTGTCGTAGGGAAACATTATCCGACAACACGGTAGGCAAATACCTTTTTCCAACGACAAATTTAAATAAGATTCTCCCCAGTGATAAAGTAAATGGCAAACTCCCTTTCTATTGGCAAAGTTAATAACCAAATATATGTTAATATAAGTAAATAGCCAACCCTTTCCACTTAACAGTAAGGAAACACTTCGAACTAGTTAACAAATACCAGCTGACTCTCTCTGATGAAGTAAATAACAAATTCACTCTAATGAACGTTAGCAACTCACTTTCTCCAATGATCATTAAATTACCAACTCTCTAACGTTACTGTGAATAGCTAATTCCCTCTTTTGTCAAACACTACAAAGTCAGCATTTATAAGCTTGAGCTGTAGGTTGGTTCGATATGTCGCGATGTGATCATCGCTCTAATGCACCTAAGAGATACGTCAAGGGAGTGGCTTGCACAGGAGGTCAAAGTTGTATTGTGTTGAATTTGGTTGACTGTATTGTGTTGAATTTGTTTTGCATTGAGCTGTCCGTTTGTATGGTATGTGTGAATGATGAACCTAGCATATTATTACATTGAAGTCAAGCTGAACTTAATATTGTTCCATGGTCAATATCGCAATGTTGATGAAAATGGTATTATACTGAAGTTTGTTTCATGTTTCTGATAATCTCTTCATTTATGACAATGAAATTATTAAAAAAACGAACGAATAAGGTCATGCTACTTTCAGAGTGAGGGAAGATAATGCATACAGTGTGATGCAAATTAAATTAGATATTTTCATTTTCGTCCGAATAATTCACAAAATACATATGTGTGTGTGTGTCTGTGTGTGTGTGTCTGTGTCTGTGT